TGTGCACTTGTCGGTGTATGCGAGTGGGCGTGCGGCGGTCCCGGACGGCCAGTCTTGGATGCCGGCACATGACGCCGCCGATATCCTCCTCGGGGCACAATGCAGGCGGAGAAATGGGCCAGTTTTTAGTGCTGATTTTTTTACCGCGGTTTTAAATACCGTACTTACCCAATGGTCCATCGTCCACTATTGGTTAGCAGTCTGATTAGGTAAATACCACAACAAAAGGGGAGTCTTGCAGCATTAAAAGGATTTAGCTAGTTCGGTGCATGGGCCACTAGACCAAGAAACACTTCTAAATAATTGAGTAAGGATACTCAAAACCTTTTGCTGGTCCACTACAATGCTAAGATGGAAACGAAGGTAAACTGAGGAACAACGTGAGAAGCTGAAAATGAAAATAAAATAAAAAAAGGAAGAGCTAATTGTATCATAAGAGGTTGGTAATCAATCCCCTGCTGATGTCTCAAAAAAAATAAAATGTTTTCATGTGGAGTCGAACCACAACCCACTTGTGTATCAGACTAGTGTAAGAACCAACTACACCACGATAGAATCTTCTTAAAAATAGATGCAAAACCTAAAGTACCATGAAATCTGTACCACTCAGTATGGCCATGATGTATAGTAAATGATAAGGTCCGGGTAAATTTACTCCCACTTACCCAAAATGATTAACCGTGCCAAGGTTCCCGCCATTCCGAAAGACGCTAGGCGACCTTCGAAGTTTAACGGCACTCCTACGGCACGGTTAAGGTTCAAGAGGCCACTCCGGAGAAAAGGTCACAACAACTCATCTGACATCCACCCCCTACAAACATCTTGTTTCTTCTTTATCCCCATCACGGCTTAATTACGATAAATTCAATGAAGCTCACGAATTTCCTTTCTGCCAGTAAAATGAGCCAGCGCATGCAATGGATTCAACTCAAATTCCAAACCATTCCAGTAAGATATTTATTAACCGCTTAACCTGAATGAGCTTTACTAACATGTTTGCTGAGCAAGAAACAGTGGAAGAATGCGCCTAGTTCTAGTTACACACTCATTCCGAAAGCCTACACCCTTGCCTATCATCCAGCTATGTCCTACAATTTTTATCCCTCCCCTATTGTAGCCAAGCGTGGGTATAAAACAGAGTCTGGAAAAGTTTCGTTTGCCGAGCACAAGGAACATATTAAGGCCATTGAGGCCACCTGGTATGAGCGCATCAAGCAGATGGATGCCGAGAAGGACAAGCTGTATCGTGAAATGAATGCTCATGTCAGGGAAAATAGCCGCCTAGAGGTAATTAAATCTCATGGCCCCTGGGAGTTGCTTCTTTAACATTTTCATAGGCGGTTATTCTGAATGTAGTTGACGACAATCTGCGTATGAAGGGCAATTTTAATGTCCGCGGTGCTCTTGGTAAGCTTCAATAACACATATCTCTTAAGTAGTTACTAATACATAGCGGCAGAACGGATGGTCTACTTTGCAAAAGAAACCGGAAAAATCCAAGTGCCAAAATACGCCGGTGTGCAGACCATGCTCAATGCTCTTGCGGGCACTTCAAGATTCGAAAAAATTGCTCGAAAGGTGGCAGATGACCGTTGCCTTAAGTTTGACCGCCTTAGTTTTCGCGCAACACGCCTCTATGATGAAGTCTCGAAGCACGCACATGGGAATGATTTAATGATTACTGTCAGAGCAAAAGATTTCACTCCGGACGAGTGCGGCGCACTGATAGCCTACCTGGAACTGCAAAAGGAGTGGCCTGCCCCCCTGAATTGGGTGCTGGAAGAGAAACCTGTCGAGCATGGACTAAAAGCTACTACATAGCTCAGTGTGGAAATGATTGCGGACAGGTCGCAATGGTAGTTCCGTGGTTGTGGATTATTTATGCAACCAGGTCATGGAACAGGATATGGAAGTCACTTGTTTTGCATTCCCTTTTAGATGGCCTCGGCCACTTTTACAATTGTTTTCTTACAATTGTTTTCCTTATTTGCGTTTTTTCTTTCTTCGCCTCGGCCCTCCGATAGAAATAATTCCTACATTGGTATGTAGCTACGGTTAAGATAATGTCTTCGGTGAACCATACTAACAAAGAAGCGGCCAAGAAGATATGCTGTGGCAGGCATCCAGAGACTATAAGACCCCCGGGGAATTTGATCCAACACTTTCCTAGATACTACTAGTCTCGTCTTTATCAGAGGAATCAACCACCGCACATTCATCAACATCACCCTAGTCCCTTTGAAATCTCACACACCCTCCGCTCGCCAATGACTCCCCAGTGCCAGCCCGGGCATGCCCCCCTCAAAATTAGTAGTTGGCCTGTGCTCTGGCAACGTTCGCAAAACTCCACCTGATTTTGCGAGTGCGCCATCTGAGATCTTAGTAAAGGCATGTGCTAGATGAAGTAGGACACCGGCATCGTTGGTTATTTGGTTAGAGATCTGTTTGCCAGCAACCGCGGGAGGAAAGGCCAGTCATCCAAAAGAAGGTCACGGGAATGCGGATCTCTGCATGTGATGTAACATGGTATTTGATATTGGTGAAAGCGACCGCCTCCCTGGAGGCCCGAGGCTCCCATGATGCGAAGATGACAGGGCGGTGTCATTCTAAGAAGCTTGAGTGGCTTGCTTCGGGGCGGGTGGGCACCGATGGGAGGGCCGCTGCGCTCAGAAATGGTTCCGGCCCGAGCCGTAAAAGCAGCACTACGAGAACTGGGGAGGTGGTAGTGGAAGGTCCAGGAGTGATCAAATTATGATTAGGATTCTGTGCGATTCCGCTCGGGGCGGAAGTAAGAGAAAGAAGAAATGAGGTAGAATAGACGTCAGGAAGGGGGCTATTGGTATGCGGAGGACATGTATGAGTTTACTGGCCGCTGCGGAGGAAGAACGTATGTACTCCTGCCTACATTCTAGGGGTGGATCCGACTTTTCTGGTATCATAGGGAAGGCTGAGTGCTAGGTATAGCATTCGCTCCCTCCTGCCCTCGATATCGATTACCCTGTCTACTAGCATCCCTAAAGCAAATCGCCTACAAAAGATAGACGGTCGGGTGTGCGCCATTCTACAGATTTCGACATACCGTCAGATAACTCTACGCCAATTTCCTGGGATACAGAAGTGGACGCCCACGATCCGCATCATGTTCAAAGAATGGAGATGATGGTCTCTCCTATTACTTCTACACCGGAGACTCAACATGTCGTTAGGACAATTCTGCGTGGGGAATACGAGTCGATAGTCAAGGAGGCAGAGGAAGGTAATAAGCGGGTGCAAAAATATCTTGTTGCTACGGATTTGAGTGGGGAGGCCCAGCATGCTCCGGAGTGGACAATTGGAACGGTTCTGGGAGATGGGGATACTCTGATGGCCATATATGCTATCGATCGGGATATGGTGGAAGATGCCGACAAGATTGTTCCGGATGACAAGATAGCGGGAGAATTGAGTAGCAATGCTGCCGCCATGGGGACCAGCCTTGCGGCTATGAACATGCCTCATATGCCCGGAACATGTTCTCCGATATCTAACATTGGTGATGTTTTGGAGAGGAGTAGCGAGCACACGGAGGGAGAGCGAAGGAGGTTCATTGTAGTAAAGGCAATCACTAGGCTGGTGGAAAAGCTTTTGGGGGAGTCGAGGCGTCACGTCGGGCCGCTGTAGGCATGATTCAATCCGAGAGTCCGAAGCTTGAATTCACGAGCAGCCGATTGGAGCCAATGAGATAGATGGCAGTGTGAATGAAGAAGAAGAAAAAAGTGCTAGAAATGAGAAAAAGAGAATGATTTCGGCCGGGCTCAAACTGGAGACCACAAGAGTGTTGGACTGATGTAGTAACCAATTACGCCACGAAGGGGCATCACCGTTGTATTTCAGCAATTTTTTAGCAGAATGTTGTCCACGTTACATATCATCCTGGAGGACGCAAGTGGAGCAAGGCTGATTTCGGACGCCGTTAGACATTGTGCTATGGTTCTATGCTAAGCCGAGCAGGGGTTGATGGTTTTGGGTTCGCGGAAGCAAAGGTTTCCTATCTCCGTTGGGGTTCGTGTTCGTCCTCTTTTCTCTGTTACCTCCTTGCATTTTATCAACTACACAACTCCTATGTCAGTCCATACATTCCTTTCCTCTACCTCACCGCAAACATCCTTCTTGTTTCCTTCAAGGCATATCCTCCTTTCATTCCTGTTTTCCCTCAGATAGTGAACAAAATAATTGATAGACCGACATAGGCATTCAAACATGCCACCCCTAGACCGCTCCGCATTGCGTAATACTTTTATCTATGCTTCCAAGAATCGTACCACTGTGCACGGAGGACTTTGGGCCACCGAAGGCGTTACGAACGCTAATCTCTATTCCATGGTGGAGATTTTCTGTTTTATTGGCGATGTCTTCTATCTACACGATGGTAGCGAACAGTTGATTGAGAGGGATGGGAAACAGCTTCAACCAGGCAATTACTATAGTGTCACTATTGGTAGTCCCTTCTGTGCCTCAGTATTGGCATCGACTCACTGGGGATAGGTTCCATCATTGTCACGGACGAGACGCCGGTAAATCGTATGGTCTCTTTGCAGACCCAGAGGAATCTCGTAATGGTTAGGGCGCACGAGGAGAAGAGGGAAAGGGAGCTGCGGGGGAAGGCAATGGCGAGGAAGGGGACCGGGGAGATGCCCAGAGAAACGATTAGGATGCGTAGGGAGAGGGGGGAATGACGCAGCCGGGGGTGCAAACACGGAAAAAAGAGTTAGAGGAGTCAAGAAGGGGCGCGGGTGCAATCACAGTTTTGCTCTTGCAATGTAACCATATTTTCAAATCTGGAGCGTGGGCCGCCGTTAGGCGGGGTGTATGTATGGGGCTTATCGCTTTTTGTGAATTATTTACCTAGCTCCAAAAGTGTTGTCCGCAGCAACTATTGGTGGAATTGTTCGAAAAGGTCGAGTGATTGCTGGTGAAACGGTACCACCACCCCACCACCCCACTTCCCCACCAGCCTCTTCCATCACCCGCCTAGTAGTTGTGAGAGCGGGGGGATATATGCCGGTGCGTTGGTGGTACTGGTGCTCTGGGGGAGTGTGCGGGCAAGTCCTGTGGACGGTGGGGCCGGCTGGAGTCTGGCGATGGTGGCAATCTTCTGGTAGGGGTTGGAATGTTGTCGTGGGGTTCTCTCTTTTGGAGTATTCTGTTAATATTATTAAATTTGACGGGTTTTCCATATATTCCTGCTTGGTGGACACGAGCCTGCCGTCGCCCACTTAGCGAGAGCTAGCCCGGGGCCTTTGTGATTTGTGGCTTGGATGTTGAAAAGAGCCGTACTTGGTGCGGAAGTGCTCCACTCTTATGGCCGTGGTGGTATACGTATGCGCTAGCGAAGACGCGCAATCCTCTCTTCTTTGCTCCTGTTTCTTCTTGTTCTTCTTAGTCAAGATTTTTCCTTCTTTTCTTCCACTCTTACCTTCTCACCTTTCCTTTCTCTCTATATGCACATGCAACGAAAACATAGTCTCTACCACTGCTTAACACGACCTCGGCACATTCACCTGTGCCACTCCACT